GATGCGGGGCTCGATCCCAGGACCCTGGGATCATGACCTGAGCTGAAGGCAGACGCTTAACCTACTGAGCCACCCAGGTGCCCCAGCTAGGACCTAATTAAATAGTTAAATAATCAACATTGACTCCCAGCTCTTAAGACTGAAGCAAATGTACTTAAGGCAAGTGATCAGGCAGGTAAACACATGTTAATAGTAACGCTCCCCCCCCCCAAAAAAAAACAGTTATCTTTTATACAAGTCTAGAAAGCCAAAATAACTAACTTATAAATGTCACTTATAAATGTCACCAAAATAACTAACTTATAAATGTCACAGGTTACTGCACAGGTTTTAATTTCCAGAAATATTTTTTAAATTTGGTACATACCTAATAGAGTTTTTGTATGGATTAGATGAGTTAATACATAAAACTAGTTAGAATAAAGTCTACACATAAGTACTCACTAAATGTTACTTATTACTTAAGAGTTCAAGTAATAACTAACCCCTATACCTTAGGAAGACTAGTTGTAGAAACTTGGGTATTCGTAGCCTGGGCAGATTAAGAAGATGGAAGTGACCAGGTCAGGGTCATAAGATCGAGCCCCATGTTGGGCTCCGCGCTCAGCATGGAGTCTGCTTGAATTTCTCTCTCCCTCTCCCTCTGCCCTTCCCACTCATTCTCTCTCTCTCTCTCTCTCTCAAATAAATAAATAAATCTTTAAAAAAAGAAAGATGCAAGTGACACCTTTCCTGTAAAATAGGGAATAGACTTAATCAGTGTTGCTACAAGGCAACATGAGGACTAATTGGTAAGAGTTCAAGTAGGCTGATTTTGTTTATAAGTAAACAAATTTTTCTAATTATATCAGCTGTCAAGGGAATAAGCCACTTAGGGTATAGTGAATCCTCTGTTCTGGATCTAATTATTATACCACCATAGATCACTGACAACCCCTTCTAGGCCACCCCCTACCTCCAAGCCTGGGCCACTTGTCTTGCTCCCCATGTAAAATGGGAAGTTAACACTCCTGAAACAGCATTTTACCAATGAGAGAATAGAAAATGAGAAGACACCAACAGGTGAACTGCTAACCTCCTTTAACCGACTCTTCCAAATTACAGTTGTTTCATTTATCATATCTGGAGACCAGGACTGATTATATGAATAGTAGGGCCTAGTGAAAACTGAAAACGTGGGGCTCCATTTAAAATAAGAATTTCAAAATGGTGACAACAGAGCATTAAACAGAGTGTAGGACCCTTCTAAGCATGGAGTGATTGCATAGGTCACATGCCCATGAAGTTGGCACTGATGGAGACAACCTGGGACTCTAAGCAACCACCTGTAATTTTTGTAAAGCTATGGCCAGTTCAGTAACTTACTCTCTTGTATTCACTTTCTTCCCTTTTCCTTCATGCCCATTTCCCTCTGATTATACCCCACCTTCACCCCTAATAAGGCAAGCTTTGTTTTAGGTTCTATTTTCTAGGAATGTAGAGCATGACACTGTATAACCTGAGTTTTTAAAATTTGAGAGGCTGGTCCAAATCCCTTTTAATATTAGTTCTAAGTCTAAGATACCATAATTCCATTGATTGAAGGATATACATTTTAAATAATTGTGTTGTTCATTTAATGCAACCATGAAATTGCATGTGAGCTAGAATCCTTGGATTATTAATCTCCAATATTTTATTTTCTTTTGTTTAGGCATAATATTACTAATTTATTAGAGGGGAAGACAAAAGAGCTTAACAAAGGTGTCCCTTCCCTTCCTTATCCCAGTTCTTTACTTTCCTATTTGTCTAAGCATCTCCTGCAACCCTGCCACCTTTACATATTATTAGACTTACTTCAACTTCCTGCTTCTTTTCCATACTCACTAGTAATTGATATGGTAACTTCCAATCATTATGATTGTGTCTACCCTGTGTATGCACACTCATTTACGGAAATAGGCATAAATTTGACATATGAGTGAAATCATATGGTATTTGTCTTTCTCTGACTTATTTCGCTTAGCATAATTCTCCCTAGCTCCATTCATGTCATTGCAAATGGCAAGATTTCATTCTTTTTATGGCTGGGTAATATTCTATGTGTGTGTGTGTGTGTACATCTTTTTTCTTCTCAAATCTAGGGTTAGGGTTTTAGGGTTATGGCCAGGGTTAGTGTTAGGGCCAGAAAACAAAACAAATAAGCAAAGAGAAGAAAGAAAGAAACAAAGCCAGAAACAAGACTCCTAACTACAGAGAACAAACTGATGGTCACTAGAGGGGAGGTGGGTGGGGCAATGGGTTAAATAGATGATGGGGATTAAGGGGTGCACTTGTGGTGAGAAACACCAGGTGTTTTATCAAAGTGTGGAATGACTATATTGTACACCTGAAAATAATATTACACTGTATGTTAGCTAACTGGAATTTAGATAAAAACTTATTTTAAAAAAGAAACTGAAAAAAAGTAGGCATGAATTTAAATCTGAACCAAAACTTTTTGAAATATGCATATTCATCCAACATTTATTGAGTATTATGTTTGACAAATACAGAGGGGAAAGCAAAGTATTAGATACAGATCTTACCATTACGTAGCTTGAGATTTTATAATGGAGGCTCTGTGTTTATGTGCACAAAACAAAAATTATTATCAAAGTGGAAGGTGATATGTGGAAGATCACTTGAACAAACAGAAGTGCCTATAAATGGTAGAGAATTTGGACTAGAATTCTGGAGGGACTTATAGAGCATTTAGGATTTGACATGTGAAATTGAGGAGGACAGATGTCTGGCACATACTGCTTTATTCAGAATTCAAGTTGATTAAAAATATTGTCTCTTGTTTTTTTGAGATATCTAGACTTTTGTTTGCATAGCACTTGATTAGGCTATTTCTGTACTGAACAATCAGAAGATGAATCATTGTCACCATCCCATTTTTACTACTGGAATTACTATTTCTTCTAGTGGGGGGATTACTACTGTGACCTAAATCTGGCCTTTGGGCACATTTTGTTTATTACAGAACATTATCATGATTTTATTTCTTTTATGTAACCTAAATGACATAACTAACTTGTGAATTTCATACCTTCAATTTTTCAACCAAGCACATGGAGAAGAACAAACCTTTTGAATAATTATTGAGACTCTAGTGGAAAAATCCAAGTGAAAAAATTCAGTTTTAAAGTAAGAGAAAATGATTTTCCTCCACAGCAAACTCATCCTTTAAATAAAGCAAGCAATGATTATTGAACCATTAGTAAATTTTTGGCAAGACAAAACTCAGACTTCTCTGATAAAGAATAATTTCCAAGCCTCAGAGCTAAACAAGTGGAACTTAATTGGAAAGAGTTATTTGAATTGACAGATTAATAGAAAAAAATTGTCTTTAGTGTTGGTGTTTGATTTTCAGTCTCTTGAACTTCCATGTATATTTAAGGCAATTTCTCCTTGAGTTATAAAGGTATGGGTGTCAGTGTGATGAATTTGTGTCAGAAGAGTTTGGCTGAAATTTGCCAGGAGGTTGATTTTGTCAGTCTCTTGAATTTTTCATTGCAATTCTGATATGCCTCTGAATGAGACCAAAATTTACTTTAAAAAAAAAGAGCTGTAATATTACCCTATTTGTGTTTCACAGTACTTTAATGAAAAGAACAGTGTTTCAGAGCCTTGATTTAAAAACCAATGTCACAGTCTAACCTATTAAATTCTAATACTTAACTGTGTCTTTTCAACTAGAACTCTGCCAAATGCATTGATATTGATAGAAGTGTCTTCATTTGTAATTGGCAGTCATTCAGTAATAATGTATCTATAAAATAGTATACGTTTAAAAAGTAACTCTGTGAAGAGAGGGCATCATAAGAGATCGGGAAAATGTGTATGTATTTAGGAGCAGTTTGAATACTCTATTTAAAATTATTGGTTGTCAATGAGGAGAGAAAAAGAAAAGTACAGATAACGTTAGGGGTAATTAAAGCAATTAATGATAGTGTTTGAGGGCACTCTGAAGCTTTGTGGGTATGGTATGTATGTGCATATGTATTCTCTGGGGTTTTGCTCTAAATCCTCTTTATGTATCAACAGTAATTTTTCACATCTCTATGCATATGAAAAGTACTAAAACAAGAACTTTTATCACAGATGTTGTTTTATAAAAATCATGATGTTTCAACAAAAGAAAAATATTTGAACCCTTTTTATAATTTACCTTTATATCATTTATATAGCCAAGAACGTGCATCAATAAAGTAAGATCTCTTTGAACCTTGGTTTCTCTTTAATCTTCAAATTAGATTTTAAAGAATGAAGTATTAGGAATTCCATCAATAAATTTAAATAGAAATGGCTTCATTTGAACTAATGGCTGAATAAAATGGTGACATTCTCATATTAAACATGATGATTTGATATATTATATTACACATTTTCACTTATTTCATAGAGAGTAGAATTTTTATGAGCAGTAATTCAGAAAAATGTGAGTTGACTTCATGGAACTATTCTGCACATTAGAAAATATTTTAAATGATACTGTTTTCTTTTAGTTGTTTTATGGAATATTTGGTAAAATACTCTAAACACTTTGCACATTGTTCTTTAGTTTCAGCTCAAATTCTCAAGAGCAACCTTACAGCAATGGAACAACAAATTATTAATCTGGAACGTGACATCAAGAAATTCCCCGAAACAGAAAATCAACATGATAAGTTTGTGGAGAAGATGACAATATCCTTTATTTATTTAAGCATTTTGTTTATTAGTTTCTCTCTCTCTCTCTCTCTCTCTGCCTGTGTGTGTGCGCGCGCGTGTGCATGCGTGCGCACGCATGTGTGTATTTACTGTGTGGTTAGTTCTAAACTTACCAGTTTATCTATTCAGGCTGTCTGGGTGAATTTGTGTATGGGCTGTTTTTGTATCAGCAGCATAAATTTTAGTTCACAGTGTTTGGAACCAGGTGGAGTAGGCAAGGAAACAATTATATAAGAAAAACACGCCATTTATCAAAGAAGCATTTCATTTGAAGGCCCACTAGATACACAAGGTAAGTCTTATAAGGCTTGATTAGACCCAAAACAAAACAAAGAATCCCCTTATATAACCAGTTGTTTAAAGGAAAGGATCACCATAAGATTTTTTGGTCAGAGACTTTTTTTTCTCTTTGCATGTGTACAGATATTTCCTGAGGGTACACATGCATATTCAAGGGAATCAGAGGATGACTAATATCAGTAGATTGAAAGGATTGGGAAGGATAGGTAAAATGGATGTTGGATGGAGGGATAGATGAATTGATCAGTAGATTATGTATTTCAATAAATTATAGAAGCTGTCTATATAACATTAAGCATTCCTTCTAAATAGATGTTTTTAAACCCCTATTTTATCTACAGTATGTTCATATAAAATATAGAAATATGTGAAAGAAGAACTTGAGAAATAACATTTAGCTTGAATTATTTAATGTTAAATCTGGCATCTAAAAGATAAACTACATTAGAGCTGTTTTTTTTTTTTTTCTATTTTGGTTTTCAAAAGTTAAAAGTCATATCCTCCTCCTCTAGGTATAAATAAATATCTTGAACTGCTGATTGATCACCATTTTATATCTCTAGAGGGAATAAATACTATAAATTCTTTATCTGATAATAAGTAAATTCTTTCAACAACTATATGGCAGTCACCTTGTTTCAAGGTTAAATATATTGCCTTTTTCTTCTGTGATATGCTTACTTTTCTGCTAAACTTAGAAATTATGGTACTAAACTCAAATTACTTGAGAATGGCAATTTAGATTTATGTGAAAAATGGCTTTTCATTCTATGGCTTTGGGTTCATGAATTAATACTATGTTTTATGTGGTCCGATAGTGATGCTGAGTACTTTAATAAATAGGAATACTGGAAACAGAAGTTTGTGGGTGACTGGAGGCAGGAAATCCTCAAAAATAACCTTGGATTATGTAACTTCCCACATCGGGATACTTAATGTGAAGATTTAACTTTATTGCTTTATTTAACTGTATTGCTTTATTAGATTTTTCTTACAAATATGTCATAGTCCTGTGCCTGGAAACACCACCTACATCTTTCAGCTTTTGATTTTGGTTCTTGCCTCATATATTTGAATTTAATTCCCGAACCTCTTGTTCTTTTTAACATTTTCTTCTATTGGCTTATGGCCACACAAGAGCTTGCAACATTGAGGAGGCTTTGTTGCTCATTTAGAAAAAAAAAAGTAATTTCAAACCCTCATGAACTTGGCCTAGAGTCTTTTATTTTGTTTCTGTCTTTATTCAGGTAATTAAGCACTTTAAAATGAAAATCCAGATCCTTCTGTATCTGTATGTTACAGAGGAATGGTTATTCTTCATTTAAGTGGCACAAAAGTGTGACTATTTGTCCACAAGGGGATTGCAAACTATATTAAAATGTATGGGGCTCTTACTTTGCATATCATATTTAAAAAAATAAATAAATAAAATATACAGCAATTTATTTTAGGTAAAAAGTTTAGAATATTGAGTTGAGTTGGTTAAAAACTCCAAGTTAATGAATTATAATGATAGAACTGTTGCTCAAATTATTCTTGCTTTGGAAGACTCCGTAGGCACCCATTGAGAGTTTTAATCTTCTAGAAAATTACAAACAAAATACATGATCTTCATATGTATATATGTTATATGAATTCTGGTGCCTAATTAGTATTTTTCTACTCTTCTGGCACTTCCGTAAAAGAAGGAAATTTTAAAGTGGAATACTTGATTATGTTTTAAAATTAGAACCATGATTCTATTTTTCATACAGGATTCTTTGTAGTGGATGATTTTTCCGATGTTTCTCTTTCTCATACAGGATTCTTTGTAGTGGATGATTTTTCCGATGTTTCTGTCCCCTGTCAGTAATTTGTTTTTCCTCAGGTCACTGAACTTTAAACTGAGTACACAGGCACAAGTATGGGAGTAGTTTCCCTTGAAGGTAATCGTACCTACTTAAAGAGTAATCTCTCTTATAAGGACTGTGAGTTCAAAAACTGAATAGCACTGAGCGCCTGGGTGGCTCAGATGGTTAAGTGTCTGCCTTCGGCTCAGGTCATCATCCCGGGGTCCTGGGATCGAGTTCTGCATCGGGCTCCCTGCTAGGCGGGGAGCCTGCTTCTCCTTCTGCCTCTGCCTCTCTCTCTCTGACTCACATGAATAAATAAAACATTTAAAAAAAAAAACTGAATAGCACTGTCATGCCTCTAGGCTTTCAGAATAGCACCAGTACTATAGTTAGCAACAATGGCATGATGGCCAGAGACCAACTGAATATGCAGGTTGAATCTTCACCACATCTCCAGATTGAGCTAAGTCCCGTAGCACCTTATGTCCACCCTTACTCTTTCACAATATTGATTGAACACTTAAAATGTACTAGGCATTGCCAGACCATGAAAATATGATAGCACACAAGATGGAAAACTTGACCTCAGGTTACTGACAGTCTGGCATTTACATGCTTCTCTGGCTTGCGGTCTCCATGGTCAAGATCATATCTGGTGTGTTAATTTCTATATGCCCATCACAACGTGTAGCATTTAGCAACATGTAGGCACTCAGTAGATACATTTTGAATCACAGAATATAGCTAGAGACAATGAAGACCATATAGACCCAACTCCTACTTTTAATTAGCTCTTCCAAAGGGATATTGGTAAACAGCAGTAGGCTGTGCTTGTGGTTATTAAACTTTTCTTCATATAAATCTTCTCAGGGGGACACGTGGGTGGCTCAGTTGGTTAAGTACCTGCCTTTGGCTCAGGTCATGGTCCCAGGATCCTGGAACCAGCTTTTCCCTCTGCTTGCCATTCCCCCTGCTGTCCTCTCTCTCTCTCTCTGACAAATAAATAAATAAAATCTTTTTTAAAAAATCTCAGGAACTTAAATAACATTAAATCACCTTTTTAGAGCATGCATGTAAAATATAATCAGACTTAAAAGGGATTATCCAGACCTTTTTAAAGGAAATGTCAAAAAAGAAAAACTGACCTAGGAGGTTAAAAAAAAGAATAAAACCTGTCCTATGAATGGATTGGCTCAGGCTATTTCCTGCATCCTGAAAAATAGCCAGTGGCTTTAGAAGGAACCTTATCACCTCTGTCTCCCTTTCTCTATCCAAAATTGGTTGCTTGTTCTTCCTCAAAAAAAATAGATGGAAAGAGTAAGCAAAACTAATTTTAGAAGACTACAAAACAGGGAGAAATGGGGGAAATTGTCTTATAAATCATGGTTAGAGTCAGTAGGGAGGTTCTAGGATCAAAGGGGATGATCTATAATGGATATAATAGCACTATATATATAGAAATGCACATTGTTCAGAAATCTAAATAACCATGTGGGGAAGTTATTGCTATTATCCTGATTTTTTTAAAATTTTTTTAAAGATTTTATTTATTTGACAGAAATACAGCGAGAGAGGGAACACAAGCAGTGGGAGTGGGAGAGGGAGAAGCAGGCTTCCCACTGAGCAGGGAGCCCGATGCGGGGCTCAATCCCAGGACCCTGGGATCATGACCTGAGCCTAAGGCAGACGTTTAACGACAGAGCCACCCAGGCGCCCCTATCCTGATTTTTTTAAAAAGCAAAGTTCTTGGTATTCTTCATGTGCTTATGCTGATAATAGTATTGGAAGTTTTAGTTCAATTGTGTGGTGAATTAAAATAGAACCTATATTCTTTTTTTAGTAAGTTTAAAAATGGTAATATTCACTCTCATTTATTGAATGTTTCCTCTGGATTAGACATTGCCTAATTTTACATACTTGAAGTTTAAAAGATGTTCTTGTTTATTAAATGAGGAGTATTTTACATATCTGCTGCTAAAATTGACCACCATTATGCCTGTTTCATTGTAGTGAGCTCAAATCATGTCAGGATAACTTCAAGAACCATGAAGTTATTTGTAATAGCCCTGTTGTTTTTAATTAATTAATTTCTAGAGGTTTCTCTTTTTCTCTTTTAAGATTACTAGGAATTATGTATTCTATATCTGTATTTGGCTCCTGTTGCAAATAATGGTGGGGTGAGGTTCAGAATCACACCTGAAATCACATTTTCAAAGTTTTGAGAAATAGCCCATACTAAAGAGAGGTGAGAGGGAACACTGTGAATGGACTGCTAACTAAAAGCCCATTAACCACAATGTTGACCTTACTTCTTATATCCTGTTGACAAATTTCTTACCACAGTTACTCACATAGATTTTGTCAATGGCAAGGCTGTCTATTGCCCAAAATCAGCTTAGCTTTTTGATTGACTGCTGGCTAAATCATTTCACCAACTGGAGGACAGGGAGTGACTCAGCCCCAGGGGCACCTTTAACACATTGACAAGAAGAGCTGACAGAATGCTAACGACATTAACACCCTGTCAACTATCAACCCCTGGAATTTCCTCATAGTAGGAAGGAAAGTCATTTGAAGTGGTTAAAAATCAAGTTACTGAGGAAGCGCACTGTCCTTACCAGACAATTCAAAACAGATTTGGGGTCTCCACTGCATTTCAATTATGTTAAATTTTATTCCACTTTCTTTAGTAAGAAAATTTTTTTTAAAGATGAAAAAAACAGCTATTATTCAACCACAGTAACATTAATCACATTTGAAAACATGCCATAAGGGTGCCTGGGTGGCTCAGTCGTTAATCATCTGCCTTCGGCTCAGGTCATGATCCTGGGGTCCTGAGATCGA